GATGGCTACTTCCACCATGTCACAAAGCTCTAATCATTTCAAATTGGTTTCTTGAACATGACAATGAGTTCACTGTACTAAAATGGCCTCCACAGTCACCAGATCTCAACCCAATAGAGCATCTTTGGGATGTGGTGGAACGGGAGATTCGCATCATGGATGTGCAGCCGACAAATCTGCGGCAACTGTGTGATGCCATCATGTCAATATGGACCAAACTCCCTGAGGAATGCTTCCAGCACCTTGTTGAATCTATGCCACGAAGAATTGAGGCAGTTCTGAAGGCAAAAGGGGGTCCAACCCGTTACTAGCATGGGGTACCTAATAAAGTGGCCGGTGAGTGTATGAGGAGGAAGAGACAGATGAGGAGGAAGAGACAGAGGAGGAGGAGGAAGAGACAGAGGAGGAGGAGGAGGAGGAAGAGACAGAGGAGGAGGAGGAAGAGAGAGAGCAAGAAGAGGAGGAGGAGGAAGAACAAGAGCCATTATTTCCAATGAAATTACAATTATACACCATGTTCTGGTTCATGGAATGAGTATGAGGGAAGCAGGACTACGTGTTCAACCAAATATAAGCAGGTTCTCTGTGGCCAGGTTCTCTTGGTGACATTTCAATGCATTAGGCCATTATTGTCAATATGGTCCTTCAAAATAATCTCATTCGTCTGTGTGAAATACAACAGCGAGTTGAGGAAGACAACGTGAACTTTGAAGGAATCAACAGTGTGAGTCTCTCCACAATTCGCCTTTGGCTAAGCCACACCCTAAAATGTAGATTGACCAATCACAGCGCAGCCAAGAACGAGCTCCCACAGAGGTCCGACACTTTTTCACAGCGCTCCATTGACTTTAACACAGGCGTCTCATATTTTTGGTCTCGGCAGGCTATTACCGTCGTAGTTTTATCAAAAATATGGATAAACGTTGTGTCTGGGGCATTTGTAACAAAGACACGCGTTTCCCAGAGAGGTTGGAGGGGGGTGTTCGTTTTTTTCCCTTCCCAAAACCAAAGTCAAATCCTGACAAGTGTCGTCTTTGGATTAACCCCTTAACTGTCACCGTCCCGCTACCGGGACGCCTAACTTTACTTCACTATATTTCTATTAAATCCTAATCTAATTATGACAAATTATATATCGTTGGAAAGGTCAAAGACTTCTAAATAGATATTCTACCCCTGTTTTGTGTTATAAATTATGTAGGAAGAGTAATTGATGAATTTATGACAAGAGTGCACCTCAAAAAATCTGCATCATAATAGGAGGTCTGACCTTTGTCACAAAAAGTCGATGCACCCACTTTTAATGATTGAAACTTCTGTTTTTATGCGAAAAGTTCATAATAAAACATATAATCTAGTATTTTTCAATAAAAAATTATAATATAATATTATCCTCTAAAAATTATAATATATATATATTATCCTCTAAAATATAATATTATTTTTTTTATCGCCTTTTTTATTATATCACAGTTATCATAAATTAGGTATCATTTGAAAGCTTATAAACTCAGAATTCATCCTGTGAAAACCGTTTTATTATTGAACGTTGCGTTACCATAGAAACGGTACTCTAAATTATTTTATCAGGCTCCTCCCCTTTTAGGCATCATTATATTTCATAATTTATGATCAAAACCTTTTCTAATCTTGACAAAACACATATTGTCAGAAAGGTCTGTGTCTCAAGGTTCCAAATTTTGTGACAGAATTGATATTTGGACAGAAATGTATTAATTTGTTAAGGCAGAATGTATACAACTAAATTCAATGGAATTCAATGGCACCCGGTGGCTATTTTTGGTACTACGCCTAAACAAAATCTCATGGGAACTTCAATTTTTGTGATATCAACTTCAAATTTGGAACATAACTTGGTTAGATTTATGGCTTTGATTTTATAGTAATTTTAGACTAAAAAATATTTTGTAAAATATATATTATATAAAATAAAAAATATATAGTACAGAATATTTGATTTACTGTAAATTTAAACTTCCATAACTTTTTCATACTTTAATTTTTTGAAGTGTTCTCACCTCAGCAATAATCTGCTGAGTGTTTTCTTTAAAACAAGACCAAACTTGGGTATATATTCCAAAGCATTCTTGAATTACAACCATTTAAGTTTGAATAGTGCATTTTAACCCCCATTCTCAAAAAGGGGGGTGACAGCTAAGGGGTTAAACTGTGTGGACGTCCTCACAGTCAGCTAAACCCCTCAAGGATCAACAAGCTCACTTTTTGCTAACCAAAACATCACCTTGTCAGCTAACGTTAACGTTACCTAGCATACCGGTTGTTGATACGCTAGTACACGCTGCTAATAAATACAACGTTATACTCGCGTAGTCCGTTTGCTTTGTTATAACGATTATAGAAGTGAATAGAGACCTACCCAGCTTTGCATGAACAGTGTTGCTCCTTGATATTGTTAGTCCAAGCCTCCGTCTCGATTAGTAGGATATGCGGTGGTTCATTTTTTTGACTGTGACCGGTATGCTTTTGCCTCTATTTGCATGCCTTGTTGTTCCTTGCATTTCACCTGTATGTCGTGAATATAGCCTTCGAACATATATTGCAGCCCCTTTTGCCTACTTCTATCGGACACTTTATTTGCTGCTTTATAAAAGTTTGATAAAATTTCAGCAGGAAGAGCTGTCACAGCATAAGCCATGTTGATACCAGAGCCCAGATGAAGTTTGTCGGACGTAGCAACAGTAACTAAGGGGGGCGGGGCTTAGCCAAAGGTGAATTGACCGTGTCCTGAAACGCAACCTGATAAGTCTCAAACAAGCCTACAGAGTACCATTTGAAAGAAATTATGAAAGGGTAAAAGAGCTATGATCTCAATATGTACAAGTAAGAAATCATGTCCAGAGATTATACAGCACTATTGAGTTACATCTTTACTGTGTTGAATGTAATGCAGCACATGTTTACAGAGGCATGAAGCCTGGAATGCTATGTCATTTAAGTTACTTCAAAAATGAATTTTTGTTCATTTCTATAGAGAATGTTTCAACTGGATTCCATGGAGAGGCCTCATGAGTGCATCTTCTTGGATGTAGCTGGCTTCAATCTCACCAAGAGGAGAAGGAGCGGCCGCAACATTATTGGTCAACGTGCCATTGTAAAGTTGCCAGGGCAGCGTGGTAGCAACGTGACAATATGTGCTGCCATCAGCAGCTACGGGGTTCTTCACCGCCATGTGACTTTAGGGCCTTACAACACTGCCCATCTTATAATGTTTCTGTATGCTCTACAGGAAGCACTACTGAGACGTTAAAAGAGAGGTGATGAGCAGTCAGAGCATCCCATGTATGTGGTAATCTCAATCTGGGACAATGTGAACTTTCACCGTGGTCCTAGAATTTGTGAGTGGTTTGAAAATAACCCACATTTTATAAATGTGTGCCTCCCACCATACTCGCCCTTCCTTAATCCCATTGAAGATTTTTTTTCTGCATGGAGGTGGAAGGTTTATACAGAAATCCTTATGCACAGGAAAATCTCATTCAGTCAATGGATGCAGCATGTGACAACGCGATTCAAGGTTGGATTCGGCATGCTAAAGGATTCTTTACCCGTTGTTTAGCAAGGAACAGGATTACCTGTGACGTTGATGAGGTCCTGTGGCCTGACCATGCCCAGAGGCATGATGCTGAGGCAGAATGATTCCAAGACATTGCTTGCTATCGATCTGCTGCATATTTTGTTTGTGACTACATTTATATGTGTGCAGGATTGTGCAAGTACTTCATAATAAATATAATTTTTCCCCTGCTCTGGCCTGAGTGCAGTGTTTTGCATTTATCTCTGTAGTGTGTAATGACTGCTGTGTAGTGTTTATGCATTTGCTGGATGTGTGTGTTATCTGAAAACAGTGTTTGGTTTTGGGTAAAGATAACATAGTTCTGGAGCAATTGTTTGATATAGCAAGACAAGTCAAAGGTTTTGACAGTGTAGCTTAAGTTTGGTGATTTGTGTTTAAGGTTTTGAGAAAGCGAGAGAAACATTAAAAAAAATGTGTTTTAGCAATTCAGAAGTACTTTTTCCAAACTTCCAACTGCTTACACACAAAATCTTTTCATGGCACACGATTTTTGAAACCTCTCACTCAAAGTGCAAAACTACACACCAAATCTCCAAAACCATAAGCTATTTCTCAGCCTTTGACTCAGTTTTCAATTGCATAAAACACTTTTTTCAAAACACTACACACAATTCTCTTACCTAAAACTCAAAAATCTAACAGGAAGTGACTTGCTTTCCTTTTCCAAACACAACCAATCAAAATCCTACACTTATTCACCAGGTTCCAAACACAACCAATCAAAATGCTACACTTATTCACCAGGTCACACACACACTCCTCACACTGCTAACACTTATTACTTAACTGATCACTAACCAATCACTGCTTTACTGAGGTATAGGCCTATAAATAGGTCAAAAGGTCAGATTACCTGTTTTGAACAATGGATGCCAAAAATGGACAGAGAGCAAGAGGAGGAGCAGGGAGAGGAGGAGGAGGGAGAGGAGGAGGGAGAGGAGGAGGAGGAAGAAGAAGAAGAAGAAGAGGACGAGGGCAAAGAAGAGAAGGAAGGAGAGCCATCTCTGATGAGACTAGGGCAACTCTTGTTGATCATGAGAGAGGCTGGTCTGAGAGTCCTGCCCAACTTAAGTCGATTTACAGTGGCGTCCATAATTCGAACCTTCGGAAATAAGAACAGGAATGCAACTATCTAATGACTATTTTAGCATTACAGTAATGTACTGTAAAATGCATAGTATTGGATAAACATTTGTAACTTTAAGCCATCCATTCACTGCACTGCATTGAATGAATGAGGTTGGTTATCATGCTGTGCTAAAAAAAATTGTAAGTTGTTTACAGTTCCTATGCTGAACACATACTGTTTGAATTGAAGGGGAAGGGAAAGGGGAATCAACAGAGGAGGAATCAACAGAGGAAGAGGAAGAGATGGACGCCTTCCTGGAGGTAGAGGTAGAGGTAGAGGAAGAGGAAGACAAGAAGGTGCTCAAAGAGGACCGAATCTGACAAATGAGATCCGCGCAACACTGGCTGACCACGTTTTCAACCACGGCCTGACGCTGAGGGAGGCTGGACTGTGAGTACAGCCAAATCTAAGCCGATACACAGTGGCAAGTGTGATAAGAACATTTCGACTGTAAAATAGGTATTGTAAAAATATAATCATATCAAAAACATCTGTACGGTTTCAGTAACAGCTTACAGTACTGTATTCTATGCACTATCAGCACTTCTGTTACCTTTTCCTGTGAAATTACTGTACTAATGTATACTGGGTTTTTTTCTACATAGGATTGAGGGTCAGGAACGACAAGGGGGAAGGCCTCCTATGTTCACAAAACAGCAAGAGAGGGAGATAGTAAACATGGTTTTGGCCAACAATGCCATAACACTCAATCAGCTCCAAGCTAACATTGTCAATAACCACGCCAGTTTCAACGATATCCATCAGGTCTCAACATCAACACTGGCACGCATCCTAAAAAAAAACATATTCAAATGAAGCAAATTTATCGAGTGCCTTTCAAGCGCAATTCCGAAAGGGTGAAACGACTGCGGCATGATTATGCAGAGGTATGTATTCACTTTAGAGGTGTGATCTTGCATACTGTCTCATAATCTTTTACTGTACTGTAATATGTATACTAGATCTACACTGAACTACACAATTTTGCCTGCCACTGTTCTTCAGAGAGTTTTACGAATGGATGGAGAGGAGATCCAGCATGAGTTCATTTACGTAGATGAGGCTGGGTTCAACCTGATGAGAACACGAAGGAGGGGAAGAAACATCATTGGCCACAGGGCTATAGTCAATGTCCCAGGGGAACGTGGGGGTAATATAACACTCTGTGCAGCCATTACACAGAATGGGGTCCTCCACCGCCATGCCCATATGGGCCCTTACAACACAGCACTCACACTTACATTCTTGGACCAATTGCACAACATAACAGCAGCAAATCAAATTGATCATATGCAATACATTGTTGTCTGGGACAATGTGTCTTTCCACCGCTCTGCTCTGGTTCAGAACTGGTTTCAGCAACATCCACATTTCACCGTCCTATATCTTCCACCATACTCTCCATTCCTCAACCCTATAGAAGAGTTTTTCTCGGCATGGCGGTGGAAGGTATATGATCTCCGTCTCCAGGCTGAGGTACCCCTCATCCAAGCCGTGGAGGAGGCCTGTGACCAGATGGAGGTAGCAGCAATGCAAGGATGGATTCATCATTCAAGACGTTTCTTTCCAAGGTGTCTTGCTAATGACAACATTGCCTGCGATGTTGATGAAATTTTCTGGCCAGATCCAGCTAGGAGAAGAGACAATGTCTTGTTTTTTTGTTGTTGTTTTTTTACAGTAAACTTACAGTACAATACTTAAAGTGACATTTTGTTACAGTATTATCAATCTCCATGTCAACATTTTGGGCGTGTTGAGAAATTAATGAGTTTCTTCAGTCTGCAACATTGGTCTTGTGTAGGGTTTGGTGAATTTACATTATATTTTTGTACTTTGTTGATGGTAGCCTACTCTAATCATAGGGAAGTAGAAGTGCTAAAAGTGTTTTAGGTTTATCACAGCAGAGTGTAACTCGTGCAAACAGAGAATAGTAATGTGAAACGTGTGTGTTTCATATGGTAACAAAAGTGTGGTTTTTACCGTTTTTCTCAGTCGCTTTGGTGTATTTCTTAGATCAAAAGTGCAATTCTTGATACTACTTGTACAAATTCCAAATCATCTAGTCACTTGTGCACATTAAACCAATTTCTTATTCCTTTGAACAATTTGCGATTGCTTTTGTACACATTGCAATTGATAATGTACAAGTGTCAGCTTTTTTCCACATTTTCAATTGCTCATGTCATGTTGATCAAAATATAGTAGATGGTTCTCTGTTGAATAGTCTTACCCCTCAAAACATCTAGGCAGTAGTTCCTTGCATAAGCCATTACATGCAAAATTGTTGAACTATTTGTCATAAACGGTCAAGCATAGTTGTACACAATTCTGTTAGACCTTTTGTACAAAAACGTGAATTGATGAATCATGCAGGTGAAATTGACCCTCACTCATGAAGGAATGTAAAGTGTTAGTTCAACCAACAATCAACCAGTTGTCTAAATTGCTCAAAGGTGCATCTCATGAATAATCAATTGACAAGCATATATAGACACACCACAACACATAGTTGCAATTGTCCAATAATGGATGAACCAGGTAACGAACAGGGTCAACAGCCAAGAGGAGGAAGAAGAGGAGCAAGGATGCGTGGTGGAAGGCAAAACAGTAGAAGAGGACATAGGCGCATATCTGATGACATAAGGGCCACTATTGTAGACCATGTTGTCAATCATGGCCTTACAATGGCTGAGGCGGGTCGAAGGGTGCAGCCGAATATTGGGAGATCAACCGTGTCCTCAATAGTTCAAACGTTTCGAAGAGAGAACATGTCCTCCAATGTACAGTGCACTGATACTGTATATAAGCAGTACACTGTATACTTCCTAAAATGCTTCATATTACAGTAGTCCACTTGTATTTCACAGCATACAGAAAAATACTCTATACAGATACATACTGCACCTTACATGCACCCAACTGTATGTTTTACATTAAAATGTGTGCTCGCATAGTTTTTGTCTATGTGAAAGTGTGCGATGCATCACTGCGTTTTTCCCCACATAGGACTGCAAGATTACCTCAAACCGGTGGCAGAGGACGTCTTTTCACACCTTGACAGGAGGAGGCTATTTGCACCATGGTCCGAGCAAACAATGCCATGAGACTCAGGGAAATACGAAGGACCATTATAGAAGACAACGATGTCTTTGAAAACATCCATACAGTTAGCATCTCAACCATCGACAGGGTGCTGCATATAGAAACCAGATGAGTATGAAACAGCTGTACCGTGTACCATTCCAAAGGAATGAGGACAGAGTTAAGGAGCTACGGTACCAGTATGTACAGGTAAAACATATATCTATGTAACTACTTTACAGCAACATTTTATAGTGATACATAGTACAGTAAGCATAAACTGCACACATTTCCATTGCTGTGGAAGGAACATGCAATATATGTACATTTTATGTCACTCTTCCTTACCAAAACAAATTCAACTCTGTGTTATGGGATATAGCGTATAATGGAGTTGGAATCAAGTGAACTCTCTCACAACTTTGTGTACGTGGATGAGGCTGGCTTCAACCTGACCAAATGCAGAAGGCGGGGTCGGAGTATCATCGGTCACAGAGCTACTGTTGATTTGCCAGGCCAACGGGGAGGAAATATCACCATGTGTGCTGCTATTTCGGAGCATGGCGTCCTAACCCATATCCGCCTTATAGGGCCATACAACACCCAGCATCTACTCAACTTTTTAGAGACTCTCTACAGGGCTCTCATCCCTGATGAGGAGAGGGGTCTGCTTAGAGAGGATTTGCCAAAGTCTGTGGTCATTTGTGATAATGTGAGTTTCCATCGATCAAACATCATAAGGCAATGGTTTGTGACCCACCCGAGGATGCTCATAGAATTCCTCCCACCTTATTCACCATTCCTTAACCCAATTGAGGAGTTCTTTTCAGCATGGAGGTGGAAGGTGTACGATCGTCAGCCACACACACAGATGACCCTGCTGGCTGCAATGGATGCAGCGTGTGAGGACATCACAGTAGACACCTGCAGAGGATGGATAAGGGACTGTTCGTTATTTATTTAAGGGGCCACCGGAGGAGATTTGAGATCTGTAGTCAAAAAAGACTTGACCCTCCCTTCGCCAGCAATAATTTTTTATATGACCCTCCAAAATGATTGTGAAAAAAGGCATGACCCTCCCCGATAATTTATTGATTAGCTACTTTTCTGGTTTGCGCTTGGCAAAGATGTTCAGATAGCCATTCCATGATAAACGACTAAACTCCTGCTTTCTCATCTTGCTGTAATGATATACTAAACCTACAATTCGGTTCGGATCACGATTTTTGATTTGAAAAAAAAAAAAAAATCATGTTTTCGGTGCTGATGAAGTGGTGACGCGTTCATGTAAAATGTAATCTTAAAGCTTCCACAAAGAACCAGCAAAAGTAACGATTATGAATAATATAGCAAGGGGACATTTTAATTGTTTATTAATAAACAAGTCTTTGTCAGTGTCAGCTGCAAATATAAAGGTGACGATGCTGACTCGCGATCTTCGCAGCAGTGAAAGCGCCAGAGAGATATGCACATTTCGGATTACATAAGCAGAGAGCAGTCTGTCTGTTTTCTTTCGTTTTGAATTGTTCTGTTAAAAAGTAGACATGTCAAGCTTTCTATATATTTATCAGGTCTGTGAGGCAAGTAGCCTACTACAGCCTATTACGCTGAGTTTCGGTTAATTTATTAGACAAGAGTCCAGTTCACCCGCCAGTTGAGGTCTCTGTGAAAGTTTTAAAGTCACTTTAGAACTGTCACGTCCGTAACATTTTTTTCCCTTATAAATGCAAACACGAAAAAAATAAAAATAATATTTTGTTATGTGTATTAACAGTCTTAAACCAGGTCAATTAGATGGTTGTTGTGGTTATGTCGTTATTTCAACGTATGTGTGCATGCAACAATCAAGATGTGCATTTGTAAATCCATCCAGCTATATTTGCTTCTTATTAATTAAATCCAGGTAATTGGTTGATGAAAAATTGATTAAAATTAAGATACAATTTATACAAAACGAAATTTACTTTAAAGAAAGGCTTTCTACAAAACAACACTTAATGAAGTGGTCAAAATCATGTCTGGCCATGTCTCCCGATATATTGCGTATAGGCTTATTAGGCTATACTTGTCATAGTCAACATAGATGGAAAAAAAAAACATTGTAATAAATATGAAACTAAATGCGCTTATTATGGCTACAACACATATACAGACTCTATTTGTACAAATTGCTGCACATTTATTAAATTCTGAATTTTGCACTCAAGTTGAAAGGCATTTGTTTGTGCATATTAAAACATATCTGCAACATTTATCAAGTTCACTGATAATTGTGCATGCATTTATTAATCATTATGATACTAAAATCATAATAAAGTAGTAGGGTTCCCTTTCAATAGTCCAAATTCGCGGTGGCGCTGCCATTTTCGTCTTTCTTCTGTGGATTTCTTCAGCTCCTGGTTGGTCAAATTCAAGATCGACACATCGGCTCATTCAACCGCACAGCGCACACACCTCACGAATTCAAGCCTAAAGCGCCTGAACTTTTTAGACATGTTTAAAAATTATCGTGAGGTCGAGAGGTTCGGCTCGGCTCGTATCTTCCTAGCACACGACATGAGCCGCAACATGCGAGCACAACCGATTGCCACGCGATTTCTCCCGAGTGAAAAAAATCATCTGCGAGCTCGTAAAACAGCAAAAAATAAATAAAAAATCGCACCGTGTAAGCCCGCCTTAAGGGAGTATGAATATATAAACAGACGTTTCAGTATTACAGTTTTTCTCAGTCGCTTTGGTGCATTTCTCACATCACTATTTACATTTGCACAACAGTTAGTTCAACCTCCACAACATTTAGTCATGTGAGCATATCATAGTAGCAATTTCTCATTCCTTCCAACAAATTTCAAATGCTCTTGGACATGCATCAATTGCTTTCATACAAATCTCTGCTGTTTTATAACATTATCATTTGCTTATGTCATGTCAGTCAAAATTAACTATACTTGTGAATGCTGAATAGTCATTCCATATAAAACTAATAGTCCTCATTTCATTGCTTGAGTCATCACATACAAAAATGTTGAACTAGTTGTCGAAATCTGTCAAGCTAATTTTACTATTTTTGTTATCTTTTTTAAAAAATATATATTTTTATCCTAAATTGAACAACTTCTCTCAGGTGAACCTCAGCTTTCACTGATGAGAAGGGGTGTGCATGAATGATTTACAGTACTATGTATGTTGTATGTTCAATTCCAATATGTACTGCAATATTGTTTACAGTTGTGCACAGCTCTACCCAAAGGGAGTTTATGTTTGTTGTAAATAAGGGTGTATTTTTTTATTTTGCACAATGCTGTGAACAAATTAGATTTGCAAAGAGCATATGCAGTAATGTGAAACATACATATCCAGTGTCTTGTACTCAGTTACCTCACTAAATACAGTAATGTGTAACTTTACTGTAGTTTTCAAATGTCTGTGCAAATAGTATATAGTGCTGTCTTGAGCATTTTCAGGTAGTGTCACCAAGATCTGACTTTTTTTGCATTGGAAAACATTTACAGAGTAAACTGTCATAATGAAAACATGACAAAGCCATTTGACTATCTTGTTCAGAAACAATGGTGTAGGGACTTTTCATCTTGATGACACTGACACTTTCATTGACATGAATACTTGCTTTTGAGGAATGAGCTATCCATTTTGAGCAAGTGACACGCTTTTGCA